TGTACGTATTTAGTTACCGCCCTCGTGGTCGTGGGTTTAGAGTCGATGACTTCTAATCCAGTTACCTCTCTGGCGTGGGTTCGATCCCCGGGAGATGCTTTGGTAGTTTAGCGCGGAGGAAGGTAGTCTAGTACTGGTGTAACTCTCCAGGAACGATGGTTAGGAAACTACCCGCCTCTATGACTAAAATACTGTTGGGAAAAGGCGTAAAATGAAACAAACAAATAAACAAACAAAACGTATTCAGTTACAAAAAATTGGGGGAAAAATGAAATAATTAGGTTTCATGATTACGTATTTTTGTTTAATGTTACATAAAATAGATTTTTGAAAATCAAACTATGCAATTTGTTCTGAGTTAAAAGCGTTAAAGCGCTTTTTCACTGCACAATACAAATGTTTGTTCTTGTTAACGGAGCGAGCGAATAGAAGTAATCTAAAAGTTTGAAATCAAACCTTAATCAAATGCTAGACAAATCTCGAAAGCAATATTTGCAGTCCCATAATTTAATCACGAACAAAATATTTCCAGTCCCTTCGTGTATAAAAGAACTTTCTATGGAGTCCCTTTATTTTGATACTAATTGTTTATATTAAATCAGAAATAAAACTTACCTAGAAACGAGACGAAGACAAGTTCTCGAAACATGATTACAGCGTCACGACTGGTTGTCTGTTGTCGTCTGGTGTCGTCTGATGTCGTCTGGCCAAGTTAACGGCTGCATGACATTTTATCAGAATTTCTGGGGACACGTGTTGTTTCCGTAAATTTCCGTAAATGATACACGGAGACTTACGAATATGATGGAAACAAGTGTCGACGTTGAAGAAAGACAAAACATTAAAACATTCAATATAATGCGAAACATGATCGAAAACTAGAGCCCTAAGATTAGGTGTCATAGATGATAAACGGATACGTTTTGTGGAAATGACCGACAACAAAGTAAAACGGAAATGACCGACAAAAAACGAAAATGACCGAAGGAAATTAATACGGAGATGACCGAAAACCACTAGATTATCAGGCAATAAGCAGGTGTATGGTCAGTTCAGGTCAACACTTTGATTATTATATCAAACCGAAGATTATGGCATGTTGAAAAATATACATGTGTGAAATTTTTAAATTTAGATGTAGTCTATGTTCTATTTCAATGGTCCACTATGCGTCTTTTAAAACAATATTGTAATTTTTCTATTTCAAAATACTGAATAACTTATCGTTTACGGTAGAGGCAGTCATCACGGTCACATGATATGTACTGAAATTACAGTGAACACATGCTGAGTGTTATATTGGTTGACCAATTGATTAATTGATTTATAAACTGATTGACTGATCAATTAATTGATTGATTGATTGGTTAATTGATTGAGTGGTTGAATGAATGATTGATTAATTGGTTGATTGATTGATAAACTGATTGATTAATTGATTGATTAACCGATTGATTGATTGATAGATTGATTGATTGACTGATCGATTAGTTGATTGATTGATTGATTGATTGATTCATTCATTCATATTAGATAAAATTGTCTTGAAACAAGTTTAAAAAGGAAGGGAAAAAAAAGAGAAAAATTATATAAAACTACTACTGTGTTGGTGTAATACGTTAATGTGGTCAGATTGTTTATGAAATATGACCGGATTAGTTTCACCTATTTCAAGATCTACATCCTCTGTCCGTGAAAAATTTAGATTTTTTGTTGTTGAGAATTTAGCAAAACAATCTCAGAACCATTCCCTGATGAAACAATGCATATACATATATAACAGAAATATGTATTTCAAATCCGTGCGTGGTTAGTTTCACATAAATGTCATTTATTCATCACGGAACTTGAATTTTAGACGCGGTTTATTTTTACGCTCTCATTGGTCGGATGTACACTGTTTTTATTTTCGTGTAAGTTGTACGTCTTGGCGGATTAATATGTTAAAAAGGGAGTGTCTATTATACATAACAAAAAAGTTCGTGATTATATATTAATATGGTTAAATAAACTGTTATTTATGTTTTTTGTTTTTTATTTGTTTTTTTTTTAAATTTAGAAGAAATATAGTATAATGCAGTTTAATATTGTGACCATCTTATTCTTTTAAATGAGGTCTGGAAAGATTTTTTTCTTTTATTTTTCTATTTTTTCAACTTTTAACATTGATTCCACGTCGACACAACTCAATATATGAGCCGCGACACGACAAAACCAACGTAATGCGTTTGCGACCAGCATGGATCCAGACCAGCCTGCGCATCCGCGCAATCTGATCAGGATCCATGCTGTTCGCTTAGAAACCCTATTACAAGTAGAGAAACTGATAGCAAACAGCATGGATCCTGATCAGACTGCGCGGATACGCAGTCTGGTCTGGATCCACGCTGGTCCCAAACGCATTACGTTGGTTTTGTCGTGACGCGGCTCATATGTAATAACATTGTGATTACTGTTTTTAAATCATAATATATTTTTGTTTGCTTATCATAAGTAAAATATATGATGTTACAAAGCATTTTACCCAAAAGCTGTACGCCATAGGTGTGACAAAAGCGGGGTCTGAACGTTTGTCAAGTTTTCTTTTTATTTAATATTTCAAACATTTTTATATATTAAATGCATTTTATATAGCGCGCATGCACGCACCCACCCACGCATGCAACATGTATAGCCGTGGCTAGGTTAGGCATGGCTAGGTTAGGACAAAGAGCTATTATCAGTAGCCATAATCAGACGTAACGTTGTTGCACGTTAACGTAATATCTTCTGCAGCAGCCTATAACGACGTTTTTATGTTTAGATCCCCCTAAAGTGCAAAAGATCAAAACCGCATGTGAAAATAAACTATGAAACAATCTTGTCACTTCCCATTTTAATGATTTTATAGTTCTATAATTAACATAAACCTTAGGCGTTTTCACTTGTTACGTTCGACAGGCGAGCTTTAACGTCGATTACTAACAACGATATTTACGTTACTTACGTTAAAGATCCTGGTGGGGGCGGTGATGTTGATGCGGTGTAAAAATCAAATTTAATTAATCATTACAAAAATTATAATTTGATTCATAAATGTTACGTGGTCAAATATAGACACATATTCCCCAGAAATACATCCAGAAAGGTGCGTCTATAAATAATAGAGCACGGGAAAAAATCCTATAGAGGCGTGGTAATATATGATCTATTTTCGATAATGCCCTGTTCACGTGATTGTCATTTTAAGATAAGCACTGCATTTAGTGTAAAAAAGATGTCGGAAAATGAAAAGTAGTATAGAAAAATGAAGGAAAAAAAGAAGAAAACAAAAAGAGTAATAGCTACTCTCCGTCACAACTTGGTTATGTGAGCGTATTCATAGGAATACTGTGGCAAATTAATGACAAAAATATCAAAATGATCTTATGTACTCAAATCACGCTAAAATGACATTTTTTAAAGTCCAGCATGAATTTCTGTATTAATTCTTTATATTTTGGGTATGAAGCGTAAGAATATCTATCTATACATGTTGAACGAAATTTTGACACTGACAAAATCACCGAGTGGTTTTAAAACAAGTCATGTGACTTAAATAAACTCCGGAAGTTACAATAACATTTATTGGGGATATTGCAGGACTGAGACAGGTCTAAGTCATTCATTTGACATGTTCTTAAAACGTTTCCAGAGTTCACTGGGACAACTTTTTTGAAATCTTAACGCTCTAACCTGACCCACGTGGGTCAACTTAGGAAACCACCATTTTATTCCTTATCAGGAGAAAAGTTTTGTTGAAGCATGGCAAATATAATTGATAATCGTATGGAAACTGCAAATATTGTTTCTTTGCTTTTTCTCTGTTTGGTTTTACGGCGCACCTACACAACAAAGGTCATATGGCACCAAATCAGGATTGATGATTTTGGTTAACCTTTAGTGTTACAAGCTTAAAACAACACCATGGGTCAAAACCACCTCACCTGCTGGAGCTAAGAGGTGTAAGTAGACTCAAGTATTTCAAACTCTTACGATCACGCAAGGATAAATGATGGCTGCAGTTCTGATGCTCAACACTCAACAAGACAACCCCTCAGTCTTTTTAGACATGTCCATTTTAAAATGATAATCATCAGTGTTTGATTTAGTAACAACATTCAACATAATTATATATTCTTAAACATCAATGCTGAAAATTGTACGATAATTCGAACTGAGTAAATACGTTTATTCACTGCTCTGCGAAGAAATTCTCAATGAACATTTTTTAGGTTTTAGCTAAAATGTTTACAGAGTCTTTTCTATTTAATGCCAAGAGCAATTTCAAAAGTCAAGTAAGCCGGCGGCTCCGAGTTAAGCCAGTTAAGCATTGGGATAATCATGTGTCCAAGTTTCATAAAAGTGTAAACATCCTAAGCAGGATTTACAGGTGGTTCTCAATTGTATATTAAGTATTGACAGCTCTGGTCTAAAGCGTTCAGTATGGTAAAATTGATGGTCGTAAGAGAAAGCAGCTAAAACCCTGTATATAATTTCCGCAATTATGGTCGTGAAGCGGATTAAGTCTCTTTCACAACTCTAGAAATAAGCAGAAAACCTTGTGTCAATCACCTTTCATCAACAGAAATACGAAACCTTGATTGCACGTACTCAATTTTACATATTAAATATAAAAGGTTCTATAAAACGCGAATTTCAACGAGACACGCGCGTGTTAAATCTTAATTTGTTTTTATTTTATCAATGTTTTCGGAACATGTGTTAGAAAAAAAAATTAGAAGGAACAAACTATATAGATATATAAAAACCAGTTTGACAAGGCATGTATAAACTCTGTCATTTTTTGCTACAGGATGTCTGCACAATGATATTATGATATCGCGTGAACAAGGCCTTGCAAAACAGAAGTCAAATTAACCATGCGTAAAGCTTTAATTCATCATCATTAAAACCGTACAAATCAAATACGACATCTTACAAATTTCTTTAAAACCAAACTTTCAACTGTTGTCATGAGACCAACTCAAAATTTATGCAAAATTAAAACTTTCTTTAGAATATTATTTAAGTGTCAGAAACATGTAGATTCTAGTTAAATCAAAGATTAAAAATTCAGTGATAAGACTCTAAAATCATTTTAAACAGTTTCAAACGATGGATTAGGAAAACTACAGTAAGTCTTGTTTTAGATTTATCAACTCTCGTGAGAAAAGAAGACGATAAAATGATAATAATATTTTATTTTTCTATAAATCTATTTTTAGATATTCGTTCTGTTATGGGGGATATTAATAGATCGATGCCCTTGCCTGACATTTTCGTATAACAGGAATGTGCATAGCTAATTAGGAACGGTTCTATTTTAGACGAAGGCATGACTGTAAAATTGCAAAAATGCTGTATAATTGATAAAAAAGCATGCTAACCTTCAACCCTGCTGAATTTGTATAATGGACTCGTCCTGCAAGAAGCTTGGAACTGTCCATTTTCAGTTAGAAGGATTTCAGTAACAGACCGCTGAATTGTAGGGCTCACTGACCCCCCACCCCGTTTCTTAGTTCGACCAGTTGAAAATTGTTCCAAAATTGTAACAACTTAAAACTGTCTATGATAATCGTGCTTAGGAATATTTCATAACAATAGAACATCATCTAAATACTTGAATAATTACATTTATATACAAACTTTTTGCACTCATTCTTAAAATGTAATGCGTCATTTTGCGCATTAAAGTATCAGTTTATATATAAAAGCGTCAGTTTTGTTGAGGAATTAACAAACAAATGCCCAGATTTAGGACAATATGATACTTATGAATACATTTTACTATAATTTATGTATTTATAGACATTTCACTGTTTTACAGTTCTTCGTTTCTTTTTTTAGAAACCGATAAAAAATTGATTAAAATGTAATTTGGATACTTCGTATTTTTTCTAAAATATTGCACGTTTTGTAACGTTCAATTTCATTGGATGATCATGAAGTTTTGAAGTTTATATAATTGGTATACCAAGATGCAGTAAATTTAAGATTTTTTTCTGTTAAATTAAGGAAAGAATTTGTGCTGCTATTATAATTTCGTTATTTAAACTTAAGACCGGTTATATGACCATGTTTATAATTGTTGGTTATATAACTTTCACCTTAAGGTTTAGGTTAAATAGTTTTTGCTTAAAACAGTAACCTATCACAATCTTAATTACTGGTTATAGAATAAAATCAAGACCGTGAGTTAAACAGCTAAATTTTTTATAGTACTGCTCACAAATGTTAGGAGCTTTAAGGCACATTATGCCTCAAAAACACAAAAAGTTTTTCTTTCTAGGGAAGACATGAGTTTTATAACGTTAAAATAATGTAGTATATATAAGAGCATGATACATGCTTATCACCTGAAGAAAGACGTGCTCAATATAAAATTAATTGTCATAAAAGTAACAAATTAGTATTTCAACTTCCATACAAAATACTATATCAATATAACTTTTCTAATTGATAAAGAGCAACAGAAACAAAAAATGTTACAGGTAATTGGCCGTATAGTAACTTTCAAACCAAACCTGATAAAATTAAAAAAACAAACTTTTGGAGTATTAAAAAGATTCAAGACTCAAGTTATAATTTACAAGTTACTTATGCGATTAATGATTGATTTTTCAGTATTTCGAACCATATTTCTTCTGCGTTACTAACAAAGTAAAGGCTATTTTTGAATATTTTGAATTCATTATGGTAAATTACGTAGGTTGTAAGTGCTCTTTGTAATGTGTAATTTTTTTCTCGTTGTTACTTCACAATATTTTACTTATATTTTATTGCTAATATATACATGTAAATATACAGAGAAACAAATTGATTTCGAAAAAACAAATAGCAAAAGGGTTGGGCCCAAGTTCTTACAACATTAGCGATCGGCCCTCCCCCTGAAAAATATATTAATCAACATTGATGGCATTTATATGAGAAAGTGTGACATGTATACATATAAAGCGAACAAAGAAAAAAAAATAAAGACAGATTAACATAAAAAAAAATAAAACAATGTAAGAAATAAGTAAGACAGAAAAAAATGTATAGTAATGTATTTATATAATAACGACAAGGTTAAGGATCCAGCATTTAGTATTATTCGTCATTGGGAGTAAACGTCCATCATAAATGTGATTGTCAATTATTTGTTGTACCAGGTTTAGGATTAGTGCATTCGGCCGATTTACAAAAATATCATGTGTTTCGAAAACGGTCAGTAGTTTTGATAAATTTTTGGACAGCCGCAAATATTTGTTCATTATTGTTAACATCTAAAGAATTGCTACCCCACAGTAATATCTCAACATTAAGAGGATGAAAAATTCTGGTTTCTGCGAAGAGTATAAGTCTCTGAGGTTTAAATAATGGACAGCAAAATAGATAGTGCTCGTCATCCTCACAAAGGTGCCTATATATACAAGTCGGCCTTTCTCTCAAATGATTTTTGAAAAGGTCAGCGTTAAATTTGCTACAATTGTTCCTTAAACGAGCATGTAAAACTGACAAATATCTTATACCAAACAAAAAGTGTTTAGGTACTACGGGGGCTTTAAACTTTTCTTTTATTCTAGATTTAAAAATATTCAATGAATTAATTTCGCGAATTTCGGTGTCTAATGCATTCCATAATTCAGTAGCAGGAGGTATAAATGATTTGTTGTACGTTTCGGTGCTTCTAGCTATTGTTTTGTAATTGTTGTTGTTTCTTAACGAGTAATTTGTTGTTTCTGAAACCAGCGATGGAAATATGTTTTCAAGGTATTGTGGAAGAAGACCATTTTTAGCTTTAAAAACCGTAACTAATTTTTGTATTTTACGCCTATCTGAGAGGGAAACCCACCCAACTTCTTTTATAAGCGAATTGATCGATACCGACCTGGTAAGGCCTGTTACTATGCGCGCTGCATCATACTGTAGTTGTTCAAGTGATTGTTTTTATTTTACTTTTATATACATTTTCAAAATTTTCATGAAAATTAGCATGAATCTGGAGGCATGCTTCTTTAAGATCTTGGCAGATCTGCAAGCTTGTGTAACACATGTATGGTATCATTAAACTATATTACTCTAAACTCTTAGAACCGAATTTAAAAAGTTTGAATTAGTAATATTCGTTTTAGGCGGGTTTCCAAAACTTTTTGTTTACATCCTTGTTACAAAGTTACGATGTAAGATTTAAATCATATGTAAAGTACAAAAAGTATCCTAGTTTACAAGATGTATTTCCCCAAAATACCAAAATATGTGCGATAACAAGTTAAAAACGTGTCATTGACTTACGTATAGAATGTATTAATGTCACTAGGCATTATTTCTTTTTCCTACACACGTCACATTATTGTTTAGAATAGGTGAATATTAAACAGGCTCTATAATGTAGTCTATAAAGTACAATTAAAAAAATAAATAAAATAAAATAAAATAAATGAGTGAGTGGGTGAGTGATTGAGTGAGTGAATGAATGAATGAATAAATGAATGAATGAATGAATGAATGAATGAATGAATGAATGAATGAATGAATGAATGAATGAATGAATGAATGAATGAATGAATGAATGGCCTGCTTATATATAATGTGTGGTACGTTTCTTGAAGACTTTTTTTTCTATTTAGCCATGAGTAAAAATACGAGAAAGGAGGATAATTACGAGAAAGAAGGAAAAGTACCGAAAAGTAGGATTCACATTATCAATATTAAAACGCCATCCCTATAGATTCATCTTTACTTCTATAAACATTTTCAAAAAATATATTTCAAAGAAAAATATTGGGAAATAAACAAAAGAAGTAATTTCATTACACATTACAAATGGTACCTACTATCCTGGTAAATTACTAAAAAGAGGTCAAAATATGCAAACATAGCCATTACTGCGTTAGTCACGCTGTAAAAATATGATGATACTTACTGCAAAATTAGTTATAAATCACACAGAAAATGTAAATTTCTACTTAAATCTTGATTCTTTTTACTTTTATTAAAATCTAAATACTTTTTTGTCACAAGTTTCATTTTCTTAAAATGTTTTGTCTCTCATCTCAAGACATTTCGCTTTAAGTCGACATTTTATAATTCTTGCACAAAGACATCAACTAATTGTCAAGTTTATTAAAAGCCCATTGTGCCTATGAAATGCTATCATTTTTATTTATCTACTTCATGTACTTTGTTTGCATTTAGCTACCTTAATAACACATCAAAACACATTCAGAGCATTTAGTTGTTAATAAATTAATATTCTCTAAATCCAATATTAAAACATTATTAAATACATGTTTGACATTTCTAAAGAATAAAAACATGGATTTCTGAGGCATGATTTGCCTATAAGAGGAGTTTTAAGATAATCCTCCTTAATCACAGATCATTTCTGCAGTGCAGCATATATTTATCTCTATTACTTACTCATATCAAAATCTAATTTATTCACACTTAATTGTGAAAAAAATGTCTTTAGAACTCATCACTATCAAGTCCGCATCCCGGCACTGATGTCATACGAGAAAAAACATGTACGTGATTAAACTAGTTTCAAAATATTGAATCAAATACACGTCAAATATCATACAAATGATAAGTGTAAAATGGGATGGGCAACAAGTTCTAGCAACATTAGATTAAGCCCTTCTCTTGACCACATAGGACTCGAACTCAATGTCCCTTGATTAAGAGGCAAGGTCATTGACCTCTATTTTAGCCTTCCGATATATGTGTACTGAAATAATGCAAGAAATCTGATATATAAGGTTAAATGATCGGCAAAGTATAATTTACTTTTTATATCCATACATACATAACAGCTCGTTAAAAGAGATAGATTACCTGTATGTACATGTAATTTATTTGACATATCGGCGCGCATTAAGGTCAGTTAGACTATACCGCCCTTGACGTAACGTTTAAAAATGTTAAAACGTTGCTTTTTATACCGTTAGTTTATAACTCTCTTTACGCTTTATTTTTAAACCTCTTAATACCACACCTGGCGCTAAATGTCGCTCTTTCCGTTAAATGTCGCAGCATTGCCGCTAAATATCGCACTTGCCGCTGAATGTCGCACCGTTGCCGCTAAATGTCATAACCGCCGTTAAATGTTGCAAAATCTTTTGCTGTGAAATGTTTATTTCTCCTAATAAG